TGCTAGTCTCTCTGAGTTGAGGCACTTGAATCAGTTACAAAATCTAGACATACACATCCATTGTTCTTCCCATTTTCCTCAGAATTTGTTTTTTGACAGGTTGAATAGTTACAAGATTATCATTGGTGAATTCAACTTACTTAACTTGCTTACAGTGGGAGAATTCAAAGTCCCTAACAAGTATGAGGAGGTGAAATTTTTGGCAATAAACCTAAAAGAAGGTATTGATATTCATTCTGAAAAATGGATTAAAATGTTGTTCAAAACTGTTGAATGTTTGTTGTTGGGAGAACTCAATGATGTTCAAGATATTTTCTTTGAATTAAATATTGAAGGATTTCCAAATTTGAAACATTTATCCATCGTAAACAATTTTGGCATTAACTATATTATCAATCCAAGAGAGCGATTTCACTCTTTTGTGGCTTTTTCCAAATTAGAATCCTTATGGCTTTACAAATTGGATAATTTGGAAATAATATGTGACAATCAGCTTGTAGAGACCTCTTTCTGCAATTTAAAGGTCATCAAGATTCAAACATGCATTAAATTGGTAAACATTTTCCTATTTTCTATGGTTAGACTCCTCACTTTGCTTGAAACAATAGAAGTGTGTGATTGTGATTCTTTGAAGGAGATAGTTTCAAAAGAAAGTCAAACTCATACTATCAGCTATGATAAGATTGAGTTTCCCCAGTTACGACTTTTAACATTGAAGTATCTACCAACATTTATTTATTTATATAGTGTTGATAAGATTCCTGGTAGTGCACACTCGTTGCAAGACCAAATATTCCAACAAAGGAACAAAGATATTGTTGTTGATGTTGATCACAAGGTGACCCATTCTTGTCTTCCACTCTTCAATGAAAAGGTATGTGAGAACCTTATCATAATTACATGTGTAATGTTTAATTTCTATGATGTTCTTCCCTTAATAGAAATATAAAAAAATCTACTGTCTAAGTTTTGTCATTTCTCTTGGGAGAAAAGTCTTACTGTGGTGACATTTTATGTGTTCTTACAGGTCTCAACTCCCAAATTAGAATGGTTGGAGTTATCCTCCCTCAACATCCATGAGATATGGAGTGACCAATGTAACCATGGTTTTCAAAATTTGCTCACATTGAATGTGACAGATTGCAGTAATTTAAAGTATTTACTATCATTCTCTATGGCTGAAAGTTTGGTGAATCTTCAAAGCATTTTTATAAGCGAATGTGCAATGATGGAGGATATATTTCGTCCGGAAGATGCAGAGGTGTGTTGATTCATTTAATAGTGAGTTTGATTAATGCTATCCTTTGTTGTTTGATATGTTAAGTAATTATGTCTTTCAATTGCTCACCTATAAAGTATTTTTATTGTAACAGTATATTGATGTTTTTCCTAAGTTGAAAAAAATGGAGATTATCTACATGGAGAAACTCTGTACCATTTGGAAATCTGATATTGGTTTACATTCCTTTAGCAATTTGAACTCTTTGATGATAAGAGAGTGTAATGAACTCGTTACAATTTTTCCTAATTATATGGGACAAAGATTGCAAAGCGTTCAAAGCTTGACAGTTACAGACTGCGAATTGGTTGAAAACATATTTGATTTTGCAAATATTCCGCACACTTGTGATATTATTGAAGCAAATTTGGGTAATATATTTCTAAAAAATCTGCCGAGTTTGGTGAACGTATGGAAGGGTCACACCGGTGAAATATTCAAATGTAGTAATTTGCAAAGCATAAGAGTTGATGAGAGTCCAAAATTGAAATATCTCTTTCCTGTTTCTATTGCCAATGACCTACAAAAACTAGAAGTCCTTGAGGTATGGTACTGTTGGGCAATGACAGAGATTATTGCTTTGGACAAACATTCAAGTGCAACTGCTATCACCTTTAAATTTCCTCATCTAAACACTCTATCATTAATAGACTTGCATGAATTGAGGAGTTTCTACTCACGAATTCATACTTTAGAATGGCCACCATTAAAGAAATTGAAAATAGTCGACTGTAGCATGCTCAAAGGATTGACTTCAGAAATCACAAATTCATCAGAACAACCAATTGTTTTAGCAACAAAAAAGGTACATAAAGTTCGTTCAGATAGAGCTTAGAAGTTCTTTTTTGAAGTTCTTTTGTTGGAAATATAGAATATGTCCTGTTTACGTCTTTTATTTCTTAAATCCAAATAATACATTATGGTTCAACTAGTATGCTTTAATACTAACAACAAGTCTTTATTTATTTATGTAGTCAATATATGACTTGGAAAACATGTCGGTGAGCTTGAAGGAAGCAGAGTGGTTGCAGAAATACATTGTTAATATTTATAGAATGCATAAACTAGAAAAACTTACCTGGTATAGATTGAAGAATAATAAAATTCTGTTTTGGTTTCTTCATAGACTTCCCAATTTGAAAAGTCTAACACTAGGACATTGTCACATGAAAAGAATTTGGACTCCTGAAAGTCTTAGTTCATGTGAAAAAATAGGTGGTGTTATGCAACTTAAAGAGTTAGAATTACGTAGAATGTGGTCTCTCGAGGAGATTGGTTTTGAACATGATGTGCTTCTTCAAAGGGTAGAATGCTTAATCATCCGTGGATGCAAAAAATTGAGAAATCTAGCATCATCCTCGGTATCTTTTAGTTACTTAACATCCTTACAAGTGGTGAACTGTATGATGAAGAATTTAATGACACTCTCAACTGCTAAAACCTTAAATCAACTCACAACGATGAAGGTAAGTTCATGTCCATTAATTGTGGAAATTGTTAAGGAAAATGAAGAGGAAAAAGTCCAAGAGGTTGAGTTTAAACAATTAAAATCATTAGAATTGGTGTCTCTAAAAAATCTCACAAGTTTCTCTTGTGCTGAGAAGTGTGGATTAAAATTCCCACTACTAGAAAAATTAGTAGTAAGTGAATGCCCTCAAATGAGAAAATTATCTGAAGTTCAAAGTGCTCCAAACCTACAAAAAGTACATGTTGAAGCAAGAGAAAAAGACAAATGGTATTGGGAAGGTGATTTGAATGCCACTCTACAAACACATTTCACAAACCAGGTATGCATTAAAGTATGTTGATTATAAGAAATTTTCATTGCATCATATCTCCAAAGATAATTTAATGTTAATTTCTTTGAAAACGTTCATAATTAATAATTCAATTATTTTGCAAAACATAAATAATACGAAGCAAGAACATTATTGTCGTTTTGTACATATTTAAGTAATTTATTTCTTATTTTCATAGGATAAGGTTAATGGATTGTATTATCAAGTTGGATTTGATTTCCAAATGTCTAGCGCAATTTCATAATCAAATTTATGCAAATGATGACCTTTATCATACTCTTTGAATTATTTGAAACAATTTCCACTTTTTTCACATTTCCAAATTTTTTTATAACAAATTATATAATGAACTAAAGTGCGGGTCACATATACCATAAGAATTAGTATAAAGACTTTTTATATATTTATTCAATCATTGATTGTCTTGTACATCTGACATTTAGTTTCTTCTCTTTTTAAGGTTTCTTTTGAATATTCAAAGGATATAAATCTTGTTGATTATCCCGAGAAGAAAGTTCGACATGACAAATTTGCTTTTCCGGACAATTTCTTTGGTTGTTTGAAGAAATTGGAATTTGATGAAGCATGTAAAAGAGATACTTTGATTCCTTCTCATGTACTACCTTATTTGAAGAACTTAGAAGAATTGAATGTGGAGAAATGCGAATCAGCACAACTAATATTTGACATAGATGAGAGTGAAATCCAGACGTATGGAATGGT